TTAAATGGAAAATGTTGTTTTTCTTATATAACTCTTTTTACTTTTCCTTTTAAGATTTGGGATAATTCTGACGTACCTGAAATTAAAAGTTTGCCATGTCTGACCCTGTGAGGTTGACAATTTCTTCTGAAATCTATTTAGTGACCAATACGAATAATCCCTAAGCAGAAGACATTATCTAATGAACCGAGAACGTTATCCAAGTCACAAACTCACATTCTATTATTTAATGTGCCCCACAGTAGATGAGACCTCAGGACGCCTCAGTCTAAGGATCCCTGACTGAGCTGTCAAACTCACAACAACATGGGGATGAAATGATCTGTGGTTGCTGATGTGATGGCAGGATACAGTAGACACTGATAACACAGCTACCTTGGCTTGGAATTGGGGGCGTTCCTCTAGGCCTACACTTCAAGAGAAAAAGAGTTCTAAACCTGACTTTAGGTTCAGTTTGCGCAGTCACTGCCTCTTCTGTGAAGACCTTAATCACTTTAAGGCTGCCTCTTCAAAAGGCAAGAACTGCTGCATTTGCACAGCTGCTGCAGTGGCAGAGAAATTCCCTGCGACACTAGAGACAGGTAAATAAAGAAATTGCACTCGCTCCGAGGCAGGGGGGAGGGGTCTTCTGCCAGGCAAGAGTTTACATAATGCAACTGAAAACGACGGAGCTATGCAGACCTGTCAAGGGAGATGCAAGGCTTGAGCTCCTCTCTTCCTACCGTCTCTAACACTCTCCAACAGCCTGTTCTTCACTCGCAGAAGATCCAGGCAGATTACACCTAAGAATGAATCGCAATCCGTACGCACACACTTAACCCCATGCTTTCCTACCTATCTTTATCATTTAAAAAAAAAAGAAAAAGGCAAAAACAGAAAGGAAAAAAAAAAAACTCTAACCTACCACTTCTGAGTCCAAAGTATGGAGTAACCAAATGGAGCCGGGGAGTTTTTCTCCCTCCTCTGAAGGGGGAAGAAGACCAAAGGCGCTGCCCCAAATCAACACCACGCCCAGTAGTGCAATGACAAACGCGAAAAACTCCACAGCGGCCCAGGCAGCCCCTCGCGGCCCGGCCCGGCCGGGCTCCTGCGGCCCAGTAGCCTCCCTCTCCCCCGGCCTCTCACAAAGGAGAATGGTTCAGTCCAGAGCATCACCCAGCACCTGATCTCGCACAACTGGGGACAGGCAGGGCGAGGAGAAGCAGTTATGGGAATCAACCCTAGGAGCCTCAGCTGCTGCAAAGACCCCAGGACCAGCACGGAGCAGCGGGCGAGAGCGGGAAGCCTACCTGAACAAGTCCTGGTGCTTCCTTTCCACTCAGCGCTTCAACTCACCCTCTCGGAGAACAAGGCGCCTTCCGGCGGAGCATGGCCAGCCCTCGCCTCAATCTAGCTTGCTAGTAGTCCATTCGGCATAGGCCCCGCCCCCCTACGCGCCCACCAGCCAATGGCAGCACCAGAGCCCGGCCTCTGCCAGCGGCGTAGTGTGAGCGCCATCCAGGAAGTCTCCTGAGGGTGGGAGGTCCTAAGAGGCTGAGAAGGTACGTAGGCAGCCACAGATATGCCTGATTGGAAATAAAATGTGGCGGCAGCTCGCCTGTGACGGCTCGGTTCACCCGCGGCCAGGCGTCTCGGCGTCTCTTTTTGACCCCCGCCGTTAGGGGCGCTCTAGACTGAAGCGACACTTAGTTACCTGTTTCTGGGAAGCCATCTTGGATCGGGCTAGTGCCCTGGTGGCCGGGCGGTGGAAGGAGCGCTTAAACCATTTGAAGCCGTTTGGGGCGTCGGGTCCGGCTGAGGAGGTCCAGCCTCGACATCCCTTCCGGTACAGGTGGAGGCCGCTCAGTCACGATAGGAAACTGGGTTAAGGCCGAATGTGGGTAGAGGCGATCACCGCCACCCACCCTCTCACTTAACTATAGGAGTGAAACGATTTTACCAAATCGAGGACGCAAAAATTGATTCTTCAAATCCCAGTGGCTGTTACCATATTCGAGGCTAATCCTTTATACGCAGGTTGCTTCTCAGGATATGGGCACGTGACCGACGTAGGTTCTGTACATGTAGGCTTTACTTGCTAATTTTGCAGTTTTTGGATTGGCAGTACAGAGCACTGTCAGTTGGAAACGGTAAGAATTAAAAAAAAAAAAAATCACATTGAAAGAATAAGTTGGGCCAGCCTGTGGCATGCTGGTAAGGCGGTAGGGCAGTTAGATTTCATATGGCCAACTGCCAGGTTTGAATCCCAGACCCGGAGGCTTGAGAAACACGTTGGGCGGGTGTGTGGGTGACCAAGCAGAGGAGGGAGAGACGGAAGTGATTCTTCCCGACAGAGTGACCATGCCCTGTGAAGAGTACTTTCTCACTTTCCCCAGTGAGTGCACACATCCTCTGGCAAGAAAAATAAGAGTATAAATAAAGGCCCAAAATTCAGGCCAGCAGGTTGTAGTGGCTAAGGCACTGGATCCCATGTCATACTCTGCAATTCCACTCCTGGACCCAACGGCTTGAAAAACATGCCAGGCCATGTGTGTATGCTGCATGCCCAAAATCCTAAAAAGAAATTGGAGGAAAAGGGATAGTGGGGTGGCCCTACTCCTGTCCCCATGATTTCTCTCGTTTTCCCTTTCTGTCTCTCTCCAGCAAGCGCACATGCTGTATGGCAAAAATCTTTAAAAAATAAAAATAAAGGCCTAAAATTCAATAGACCCAACTACTCATGAATTACAGATAGTATAAACCATAAAGGCCTTAGAGGAGAAATATGTAAGGAGAAAAATGCCATTAAGGAGCAGCATTAGGAAACTGGCTAGAGAGCCAGCAGGTGGTGTGGTGGTTAAAGGTGCTGGATTCCCACATGGCTGACCACCATTCAAGTCCCAGACCTAGAGGTTTGCTTTCTTTCTTTCCCTTTCTCTCTCTCTGGTCCAATTTTTAAAAATAGCAAATGGAATTAAAAAATAATTCTTTAAAATAAAGAAACATTGGGTGGAGAGAATTATTTCTAATCTTTAAAAAAAAGAAACAAGGGACCAGCAATTAGCGTAATGGCTATGTTGCTGGACTACCATGTAATCGACTGCGGTTTGAGTCCTGGACCCGGTGGCTTAAACTCATGCCAGGCACGTGTGTGTTCATGCCCAAGATCCTGAGAGGAGAATGGAGGAGAAGGGATTGTGGTGTGGCCATTCCCCCTGGGGGGTGATTTCTTGCTTATCTCTCTGTCTCTGTCTCTCTAGCAAGCGCACATGCCCTATAGCAAAAAAAAAAAACAACTCAAAGAAAAATAAAAAGAAACATTGGGTGGAAAGAGTTATTTCTAATAACTGCATTAAAACTGGAAGGAAAATAATTTAATTGTAGGTCAAATTCCCTTGCCCTCAATGAGAAAGGTTTTCCTATAATTCCTGGTCTAAATCTCTACTGGTATTATAATTTGTTATAAGAAGTCTTTTTAGTAAAGAAGTCCTTCCACATTATTAAAAGAATCTTTCAAGGAGCAACATAATTGCATGGTCATACATGGAAGGAGCTCAGGGACATTAAGGAGTCAGTATTTTATCATAGAGGTGGTAAGGCTTGGTCAAATACATTTCCTTATATAATGAACAAAATTTGATCAAATTATTCCCTGGCTATTGCTGCAATTATATCAGATTTTAGGTTAGTACTGGGATTTACCAGAATAGCATGTTTATCTGTAAACACATATATTGGTATGATCTTAATTATTACCAGTTTCTGAAATGAGCAAATATGCTTTTTTAAATCTGGTAACAAAGATGCCATCAAATGACTTAGTTATAGGCATTACAGAAAGGGGAAAAGTTGTGCCTGTAATTTCTGCTACTTACACAGATGTTTTGCTATAAGCAAAACATTTCCAATGGTCTTGGCATTCAAAACCCAATCAATATCCAGATTTTTTTAAAGAATTATTTGTTTAATTCCATTTGTTACTTTTTTTTTTTAATTTGATCAGACAGACACAGGAAGAGAAAGGGAAAGGGAGAAAGCAAACCACCAGGTCCCGGGCTCAAACCGTGGTTGGCCATATGGGAATCCAGTCCTTTAATCACTACACCACCTGCTGGTCCCCTAATCAATATCCAGATTATCTAATAACTACTATTCTTCACATAGGGCTAGGAAATTCACTTTCTGTAATTCTTCATAACCACTTTATTCAGAACACACAGGTAATTTGACCAGATATTTTATTTCTCATGTTTCCCTTATAATTGGTGAAATGTCCAAATACAGAAAGTTATACATTGGTCTGGAAAATAGAACTGGATGTGGAGGTTAGGATTTACAAAACGTGCTGGCAGGTGGGAGCCAATAGGTGGCATGGTGATTGAGGCGCTGGACTCCCACATGGCTGACCATGGTTCAAGATCTGGTTCAAGTCCCAGATCTGGCAGCTTGCTTTCTCACTTTCTCTCTCCCTCTCTCTCTCTCTGTCTCTCTCTGGTCAAACATAAAAATTATAATAATCAAAATAATTAATTATTTTTTTAAATACCATAAAAAAGCAAACAAAATGTGCACTAAAATATCAAAATGGTATCTTTAAGGACTCTGTAGTAGCTCTAGGCCAGATCCCTTCTTTGGTCAAGGCCCTAATGCATCACAATTTCTAAAGATTTTTTTTGGATGGTAAAGAAAAAAACTTTTGTATAGGAACTACAGAGTTAAAATTATTTTAGTTTGGTCTCTGTGGGTGAAAGAGCAGGCTAACTTCAAATCTGACAGCCTCAAATCCTTTTTAGAATGAGGTAGGCTTAAAAAAAAAAAGCATAATCAACACAATACCCCAATGTCTTTCAACTTTCTGTGGTGCAATGTTAATTAGTACAACTATTACTGGAAATAGAATCCAGTATGAAATTAATCCCAAGGAGGAGGCTTCTTCCATATCTTTGATATAATTCCCTAAGAGGAGGGTATCTACTTAGGTTTGAGATACAATCAGAAATGACACATGGAACATGAACAGCTTGGATACACGTATATATTTAATAATAAAACAATTCATCAACAACAATGAACAATATAAAAATTCATGAGACCTCAGTGCTGTGCAAGAGAATGGTACATCAAGGAAAAAGATACAGAAACTCACCCAGAAAACTGCATGGTAAGTGAAATAAAGGCAAATTTGGTTAAGGGAATTATATGCTATGAAAAGAATAGCTGAAGAAATTCCTACTTATTTAACTGATTGGGAGGTGGCAGGCCTTACTGAATGCCACATGGAATGTAGGCAAAACGCCAGGGAAAGGGAGAAGAAAGGGAGAACAATATATCATACCCGTGGTAAGCCAATGTAAGAGACTGAGATAGACTTACAAAGAGATCACTTTAAGGCCTTTTGTTTCTTTTAAAGTCTAAAATAAACCTTACGTTTTAAAGCATGTCAGTCAAATTCAATGATCACATAATGCAAAGCACTAGGCATTGTGAAGAAATGGCGGGGGAGTGGTTTATAAAAATAAAGGGATGACATGGATCCTGCTCTCATATAAGCTCTATGGAGAGACAGATTCCATACATAAAACAACTACAAAACATATTTACAGAGCAATATATAGATAAATATACATATGAATGACCAACATGAAGTCAATGTTACTTCATCAATAATCGCTTAAAAGTCCCTTCGGTCAGTCACTGAAAGCTTCTTAAAGAAAAAATTGGGGGACTTTTAAGTATAATGCTAGTGAAGAGTAGGGCATGTGCAAAGGTATGGAAGTAGGAATAAATACGTCATTTGCAGAAAGCAGGTTAGCTTGATTGCAGTAGAAAGTCTATTTAGGTCTAGTTAAGTTGAGTATGATGAAACAACAAAAGTTTATTTGGTGAAAAACATTGCAATGTTAGATCTGGTCCCTAAAACAAAATAAAAACAGATGTTTTCTTTAGGTAATAATAAGTGGCTTGAGGTCCAGGACCAACTCCAATGCTCTTAAAACTTTTACACCTACTCTAACAGACAAAAACTGGCAATGGGCTAGTAAGGACATACTTCGCTTCCTTGAGCAAGTAGAAGGAACTGCCTTCTGCAAGAACTCTTAGGAAGTAGCAAGTAGACCCCCAAAGGCAAAGAAGTAATAAATACAATGAAATTCCTAGGCGGAGAAGCCAAGTTCTAGCCACATTCTAGGAATCACAAGTATTCAAGCAGAATGTCTTTGACCTTTGTTACTAATTCTTGGTGGGGAGCATATTGTATATGTTTATGAAAGTATTTGTTTTTGAACTACTGACAGTAACTTTGATCTAACATTTTAAAAATTAAAGAAAGAGGCCTAATCTATAAGGAATGCTCATGTCCCTGAAGAAGGACAGGTCATAAGGGCCCAAATTCTCTCCTGGTCCTTTAGTAGAAAGGCAAAGCATCACACCTTGAAAAGAGGCCTCTCTCAGCCAAAGCAAGTAAGACCTCTTTCTTTAAGCCTACTGATCTGCAGCTGTACCAGGAATGGCTCAGGATATATGTTCAGCAGCAGCCAGAGTTGGACCCTATGTCACGAGAGTTCCGTTGGGAAGCGCTGGGTCCCACTGATGTTGATATTGACTGTTGGGGCCCAATCTTGATGCCATTTGCCTGTAAAAGAAAAGAGGCAATAGTTCCCACCTCAGTGCTAAAGTAAACGGGAGAAGGGAGAAATCAGTAATTATGCTGTCTAAATGCAGATATGAGCTTGGCAGGTAACCACGTGCCCCAGCCAGGTTGCGTGGAATAACCTACAATAGTAAAGATAAAATGATGAGCTGTGGGGACCAGCAGTTAGCATAATGGCTATGTCGCTGAACTCCCATGTAGCTGACCATGGTTTGAGTCCCGGACCTGGTGGCTTAAAATCATGCCGGGTGTGTGTACATGGGTGCCCAAGATCCCAAGAAGAGAATGGAGGAGAAGGGATTGTGGCATGGCCATCCCCGCTGGGAGGTGATTTCTCACTTTCTGTCTCTCTGTCTCTTACTGGTGAGTGCACACGCCCTATAGTAAAAACCTCTCCAAAAAAAAAAAAAAGATGAGCTGTCGTACAAACATAGTTGACTATAAGTGGCTTTGTGCCCTCTTTAATGTTTACTGTTAAACTTCATCACTATGGGACCAGCAGGGGGCGTGGTGGTTAAGGGACTGGAATTCCCACATGGCCAACAACGGTTCGAGTCCCAGACCTGGCAGCTTGCTTTCTCACTCTCCTTCTCTCTCTCTCTCTCTCTCTCCCAATCTCTGTCTTTCTCTGGCAAAACTCATGTGAAAAATAAAAAGTAATGATAATTAATTAATTCATTCTTTAAAAAAAAACTTCATCACTATGTGTAGAATTAGAATAGGATTAAAGTAGGAGGCAAAAGAGTTGAGATAGCATACTAGCATATGATTCTTTTTGTTTTGTCTCAGAATTTGCTTTATAGAAATGGCCTACCTGAGCAATTAAGAATTACATAACTCTCCCCATACCCTGGAATACTAAGAAACTGAGATTAAGAAACCACTCCATATTACATAAACCTACATAAACTGACAGTAACTGGGTCTCGGGACCAGGAGATGGAGTAATTGTTATGTAGCTGGACTCCCGTGTAGATGACCTTAGTTTGAATCCTGGACCCAATAGCTTAAAACTCATACCAGGCACATATGTGTGCATGCCTAAGATCTTAAGAGGGAGAACAGAGGAGAAGAGATTATGACATGGCCATTCCCCCAGAGGGTGAGTTCTCACTTTCTGTCGCCCTGGCAAGCATACGCACTCTATAGCAAAAATCTCCAAAAAAAAAAAAAAAAAAAAAAAGAAAGTATTCTGGGTCTCAAACTTGAGGAAAAAACAGAAAATGATGATCAGTCTCCGAGTACCTAAATCTAAAAAAAAAAAAACAAAAAACACAAAACAAATTTGAACTAGAAGAGCTACAAATAGCATGATGCTAGATGGGAAACACATATCCTACGGAGCATCCTGTCCTGTTGAGAACAAAGCAAATTAATCCCAGCCCTCCCCCAACATTTCTTACCTCATTGTGGACATCAAACAAACCCTGCTGGATTTTCCTATATATTTCTTTGGCTGTGTTAATGAAGGCCTAAAGGAGATATAAATCATAGTATCAGTCTCAAGATCAGGTAAAGAAAAGAGGAAAAGAAACAAATATTACTCCTATTTGAGTTTCTAAGGTGGATTAAGAACCACTAAAAGGGAGTAAAAAGACAGAAGCCCACAAATGTCCCTGTAAAAGTTATAGGGACCTAGGGACCAGCCGTTGGCATAATGGCTATGCTGCCTGACTTCTATGTAGTTGATCACGGTCCGAGTCCTGGACCCAGTGGCTTAAACTCACGCCAGGTGTGTGTGTGTGTGTGCCCAAGATCCTGAGAGGAGAATGGAGGAGAAGGCATTGCAGCATGGCCATCCCCCCTGGAGGGTGATTTCTGACTTTTTGTCTCTCTGTGTCTCTCTGTCTTTCTGGTGAGCCCACATGCCCTATAGCAAAAACCTCTAAAAAAAAAAAAAAAAAAAAAATTAGTTATCATGTGTAGTTTCTAAAAGAAAAAAGGGGAAAAAAAAAGAAAGAAATAAAGAAGGGACTATATGGTATGCTGGTACTAACCTACAATGTTCACAGGTTGCTAGGTTTGCTCTGCAAATAAAACAAATGTTCTCTCTTCTCCATTAATTAAGATAATTAATTAATGAATTAATTATCTCCACTACTGAAGATACAGTCAACACCAGGCCTAAAAATGACTATAGTAGGGGAACCAGCAGTTAGCGTAATGGCTATGTCACTGGACTCCCACATAGCCGACCACGGTTTGTGTCCCGGACCCGGTGGCTTAAAACTCATGCTGGACGCATGTGCGTGCGTGCCCAAGATCCCAAGAGGAGAATGGAGGAGAAGGGATTGCGGCGTGACCATCCCCCCAGGGGGTGATTTCTCGCTTTCTGTCTCTATGTCTCTCTCTGTCTGGCGAGCGCACGCGCCCTATAGCGAAAAAAACCTCTCAAAAAAAAAAAAAAAGACTATAGCAGAACACAGCAGGCCCTTCAAATAAAGTGATCTACAAGTAACACTGGTGTCTAATCCACATTTTGCCAATTATTACTCAAAGCAAAAGTAAAACCCTAGAAGTCAGGGCAAAAGAAAATGGAAAAGCTTCTCTTAAGAGGAGACATGGTGGGACCAGCAATTAGTGTAATGGCTATGTCGCTGAACTCCCATGTAGCCAACTGCGGTTTGCGTCCCGGACCTGGTGGCTTAAAACTCACACCGGGCGCATGTATGTGCGTGCCCAAGATCCCTAGAGGAGAATGGAGGAGAAGGGATTGCAGCATGGCCGTCCCCCCTGGGGGATGATTTCTTGCTTTCTGTCTCTGTCTCTCTCTGTCTGTCTGGTGAGCACACGCACCCTATAGCAAAAACCTCTAAAAAAAAAAAAAAAGAGGAGACATGGTTGGGGGCCACGAGATGCTATAGTGGTTAAGGCACTGGACTACCACATGGCTGACCGTGGTTCAAATTCTGGATTAAAAAAAAAAATCTTAAAAAAAAAAAGGAGGAACCAGCAGTTAGCATAATGGCTATGCCGCTGGATTCTCATGTAGTCAACTGCAGTTCGAGTCCCAGACTCTGTGGCTTAGACTCATGCTGGGCACGTGTGCATGTGTGCCCAAGATCCTGAGAGGAGAAAGGAGAAGAAGGGATTGCGACTCAGGACCAGCAGTTAGCGTAATGGCTATGTTGCTGGATTCCCATGTAGTCGACGGCGGTTCACATCCCAGACCCGGTGGCTTAAAACTCACGCTGGGCGCGTGTGCGTGCGTGCCCAAGATCCCAAGAGGAGAACGGAGGAGAAGGGATTGTGGCATGGCCATCCCCCCTGGGGGGTGATTTCTCGCTTTCTATCTCTCTGTCTCTCTCTGTCTTGCAAGCACATGTGCCTTATAGCAAAACCCTCTATAAAAAAAAAAAAAAAAGAAGAGATTGTGGCATGGCCATCCCCCCTGGGGGTGGGGGGTGATTTCTTGCTTTCTGTCTCTCTGTATCTCTCTGTCTTTCTGGTCAGGGCACACATCTATAGCAAAAATCACTCCCCACCCCCCCAAAAAAAGACATGGTCATTATAGCCATAAGACATCCTATCTTTACTTGTGTTTTATAGAAAAAGGAATTCTGAAAAAAAAAAAGACAAAAGACAATGGTGTACTCTTGGAAGAACTTTCCCACTTTTTTTCAAATGGTACCTCTTCAACATTACAGGCTGTTTTGGCTGAAGTTTCCATGAATATAAGTCCATGCTCCCTAGCAAAGGCCTCTCCTTCTTCTCTCTTCACATCCCTGCGAGACTCTAGATCACTGCAAGAGATTAATTGGGAAGAAAACTAAAAAAAGGTCCAAGTAAAAGAGAAAGCCCTAGCTCTAACAGAATCTCAGTGGTTTCAACTGCCAGTTAATCTGTAAAGAATGTAGAACCTACATAATACTCTCTTATACAGAGTTACTGATTTCCATAGCCTCTTGGAAAATATCCTTCAGAGTCAGGCAGCTGCTATATGGTTGAATTTAATACCTTCCTCTACTACAGAGAAAAAAGCTTGCAAAGGGTCAGGCAAACCCCACTGTTACTCAAAGCTTATGCCCTATTCCTCTATTCCAAAGGAGATTGAAGACAGCAAAATAGAGATGATGAAAGGGAAACTCTAGCAGCTGTAGGACAGAAAAGCCACAGGTTGTCCTGCCCCACATAGCAGTGGTGAGCATCCTCCTCTTTTACTGGACTCAGTTCACAAGAAGCAGGAGAGCCCAGGGATAAGAAGAACATAACTGCCTTAACTCCCACTCGTCTCATTATGAGCGTGTATAAAAGCAGCTTGTCATCAGGGGATTCAGAGAAAGTGATACTGATAAAATTAGGTGACATGGAAAAAGAGCCAAGGACTAAGGAAGAGAGTAATGTGGCACTGAAAGACTTTATGAAGGGCTAAAGAACAAGGTAAAATAGTTGTTTGATTTTTATTTTTCACATGGAAATTTTTATTTGGAAGGTTTCCAGTTTTCAACCATGAAAAAAATAAATTGAAGAGTAAGTCCATTAAAAACAACAAACCTGGAGCTAGTGTGTGGTGTGGTAGTTAAGGCAGTGGACTCCCACATAACTAGTTTACTGTGGTTTGAGTCCCAAACCCTTGGAAATCACACTGGGTTCGTGAATGTGCCCAAAATCCCAGGAGAAGAATGGAGGAGAAGGGATTGCTGTGTGGCCATCCTCCCTGGGGGGGAGGGGGGTGACATCTCTTTCTCTCTTTCTTTCTCTGGCAAGTGCCTATGCCCTGTGACAAAAATAATAATAATAAATAAACCTAAAAGATAAGTAAGAACCAGTCTTCAAAATTTCCATTTATTACACATGAGCTGTATGAAGATAAGGGAGTAACTATCTATTGAGATGCTAACACTCTTAAATTTATACTGTGGGAACCAGCAGTTAGTGTAATGGCTATGTTGCTGGACTCCCATGTAGTCGACCGCGATTCGCATCCCGGACCTGGTGGCTTAAACCCCACGCCGGGCGCGCGTGCGTGCCTGCCCAAGATCCCAAGAGGAGAATGGAGGAGAAGGGACTGCGGCGTGGCCATCCCCCCTGGGGGGGTGATTTCTCGCTTTCTGTCTCTCTGTCTCCCTCTGTCTGTCTGGAGAGCACACGCGCCCTATAGCAAAAACCTCTCCAAAAAAAAAAAAAGAAATTATACTGTGAAAATGCAGAACATACCACATATAACACATAACATTTGTGTTAATCAGGGCAGGTGATGTGGAGGTTAATGTGCTGGATTCCACAAGGCTGATTCTGTGGTTTGAGTCCCAGAACCAGCAGGTGCGTGTGTGCCCAAAATCCCAAGAGAAGATTCGAGAAGGGATTGTGGTGTGGCCATTCCCCCAGAGGGTAATTTCTCACTCTCCTTCACTCTGTCTCTTTCTGGTGAGTGCACATGCCCTGTGGCAAAAAATAAATAAGGCTGGCCCTGTAGTCTAATGGTTAAGGAAGATAGATCCCAGATGGCTAACTGCAGTTCAAATCCTGGCTATGGCAGCTTGGAAAACGTGATGGACATGTATGCATGCCCCAAATCCCAACAAGGTGGAGAGATGGAGAAGGAACTGCAGCATAACCACCATCCATTAGGGGATGCTTTCCCCTTCTCTCTCTGGCAAGCGTACCTGCCCTCTGGCAATTCAAAAATAATAAAGTTTAAGAATAAATATATTTTAATTTTTCATTTGTCAAAGAGTAAGTTGTTACCCCCAAAAAAAACCCATATTTATGTTGTTTAAAGCCAAGTATTTACTAATAAAACTATTAGGTATTTCTTTTGGGCCCAAAGAAAAATTTACTGAGAATAAGTGTTGGCAAGGATATGGAGAAATTGGAACCTTTGTGTATTGCTGAAGGGATGTAAAACGAAGCAGCTGCAGGCCAGCAAGTGGCATAGTGGTTAAAGTGACTGGATTCCACATGGCCAACTGCATGGTTCAAGTCCCAGACCCAGTGACTCAAAAAATATGCCAGGCATGTGTGTGTATGTGCCCAAAATCTCAAGAGGCAAGTGGAAGAGAAGGGACTAAGGTGTGGCCAACCTCCAGGGTGGGGGAGGGTTCTTACTTTCTCTCTCTTACTCCAGCAAGCACACATGCCCTATAGAAAGTTTTTAAATAATAGTAATAACATTTTTTTAATGGAGCAGTTGCTACAATGGTATAGGAGTTATTCAAAAAATTAAACATGGAATTACTGTATAATCCAGCAATCGCATTTCTGGATATGTCCCCTAAAGAATTTAAAAGTGGAACTTGGATAGACTTTTGTAGCCCTATGTTCATAACAGCATTACTCACAATAGCCAGAAGGCGGCAGCAACCCAAGTGTTGTTGGACAGATGGAAAAACAAAATGTAGTATATGTTTATGATGAAGTATTATTCATCCTTAAAAAGGGAAAGAAAATTCTGATACATGCGACAACATGGATAAGCCTTGAAGGCATTATGCTAAATTAAGTAAACCAGTTGCAAAAACACAAATATTGTATAAACCCCTACATGAGGAACCTAGAGTTGTCTAATTCGCAGAAAAAGAATGGTGGTTGCCATTGGGATGGGGAGTTAGTGTGGAATGGATACAGAGTTTTGTTTGAGAAGATGAAAAAGCTCCAGAAATGGATGATGGTGGCTGCAGAACAATGTGAATGTATTTAATGCCACAGACCTATACACTTACAAATAATTAAAATAGTACATTTCATGTTATATATATTTTAGTACTTTTTTTTTTTTTTTGGAGAGATTTTCACTGTAGGGCGCGTGCGCTCACCAGACAGACAGAGAGAGACATAGAGACAGAAAGCGAGAAATCACCCCCCAGGGGGGATGGTCACGCCGCAATCCCTTCTCCTCCATTCTCCTCTCGGGATCTTGGGCACGCACGCACACGCGCCCGGCGTGAGTTTTAAGCCACCGGGTCCGGGACACGAACCGCGGTCGACTACGTGGGAGTCCAGCAACATAGCCATTACACCATCAGGTAGTCCTTTAGTATATTTTTAAAAAATAATTACTACTTTTTAAATTTTATTTATTTATTTTAATTTGACCAGAGAGGGACAGAGTGAGAGAGAAAGAGAGGGAAAGTGAGAAAGCAAGCCACCAGGGCTGGAACTCGAATTGCGGTCGGCCAAGTGGGATTCCAGTGCCTTTAACCACCATGCTACCTGTCGGCCCCAATACATTTTTTAAGACTAAACACTAAGAGCAACAAAGATGGAGAAAGTTTGGGGACCAAGAAACTCAACATCCACAGAGTACCTAGATGACTCCTGGTAACTGTAACTCATACAGATAAAATTTTACCTCTTATTTCCAATCAGCATGATAACCATGTTGGAGCTAGAGTGCTGCCGGGCATCCTCTAACCATGAGGTCAGGTGGTTGAAGGTTTCACGCCTACAGCAGAAAAGTTTACAAAATGAGCCAGAAACCCATTTTAAAAAGCCAAAGCAACTCCAAATGTAGAAGGCGAAAGCTGTATGTCTGAAGAAAAATATTACAGAGGCCATTCCTGGTTAGCATCCTTAACAGAATCAGTAGGTAGAAAAGCTTTAGTGAATATAGGGAGGTCTCCCTCCCACGCACCAGGTCTAACTCACCTTGTAATGTCATACACCAGCAGCGCTCCGGCCGCGCCCCTGTAGTAGGAACGGGTGATAGAACGGAAGGATTCTTGCCCAGCCTTTCCCACCAACATGGAAACAAAAAATCCCAACAAAACTAGGTTATTTTCAGACAACTGACTTGGTCACATGCCAACCTAACACAAAGGACTTCAGTACAAAAATAAGTTCTATTAAAAGAGAATATGGGGAACCAGCAGTTAGCGTAATGGCTATGTCGCTGGACTCCCATGTAGTCGACCGTGGTTCGCATCCTGGACCCGGTGGCTTAAAACTCACGCTGGGTGCATGTGCGTGCGTGCCCAAGATCCCGAGAGGAGAAAGGATTGCGGCGTGACCATTCCCCCGGGGGTGATTGCTCGCTTTCTGTCTCTATGGCTCTGTCTGGCGAGCGCACACGCCCTATAGTGAAAACCTCTCCAAAAAAACAAAAAACAAAAAAAGAAAAGAGAATATGGGGGACCAGCAGGTGTCATAGGAGTTGGGATGCTGGACTTTGACATGGCTGATCGCAGTTCGAGTCTCAGACCTGGTGGCTTGCTCTCTTACCTTCCCTTTCACTTCCCAGGGGGGATGGCCATACCACAATCCCTTCTCCTCCATTCTCCTGTTGGGATCTTGGGCATGCACACACACATACCTGGCATGATTTTAATCCACTGGGTCCAGGACTTGAACCGTGGTTGACTACATGGGAGTCCAGCAATGTAGCCATTATGCCAACTGCTGATCCTGAGCAGACATTCTTATACATTTCTCAATATCCTCTCAGAGAACACAATTGGATACAGGACTGGAAACTAAGGGTATGTTCTATCTGCAATCTCTAATACTATATTGAATATATCATATTAAGTTTTCTGTTCCTGTTCATCTGTTAAAAAGGAAATTATCTTAAAATGCCACTCATCTAATGGAAATTTCATTCAATGAATCAATGTAAAAAACTTGATACCAAGCACATACATTGAGCATATGCTACCTGACCTTTTGTGCTACATTGGTGATGGCAGAGGGCTACCTAAATATCCCTTACCATGACCCTTGTCATAAACAGTACTAAAGAACAAGGAAAGAAACCAAGGACTGGAGGTAGAATTTAAAAAAAAAAAAACACACAAAGAAACAAATAAACTATTTACAGACCAGCAAGTGGCATGGAAGTTAAGGCAATGAATTCCACATGGCTGATGGCATGGTTCGAGTCCTGGACCTGGCAGCTTGAAAATCATACCGGGTATGTATGCACGGTTGCCCAAAATCCCCAGAGGAAACTAGAGGAGAATCATTCTAGGGGGGTAATTTCTCACTTTCTCTCTCTCTGGCAAGTGCATGCACAAATCAAAAAAGCACATGAATAGCAAAAAAACAAACTAACAAACAAACAAAACTATTCACACTCTCATCTCCAATTAGACCAAGATATTAAATTTATGGGACTAGTAGATGGTGTTAATTGTTATGTTGCTAGAGTTCCATGTAGTTGACCATGGTTCAAGTCCCGGACCTGGTGACTTAAAACACATGCCCAGCACATGTGTGTGTGTACCCAAAATCTCGAAAAGAGAACGGAAGAGAAGGGACTGTAGCATGGCCATCTCCCCAGGGGGTGATCTCTCACTTTCTGGCTCTCTGGCAAGCGCACGTGACCTATAGCAAAAATCTCTCTTAAAAAAAGAAATTATAACTGAGCAATTCATTAATGATTAATGTCCCCATATACTAGTTATTTTTGTTTTTACTGTTGAGAGAGAGGGAACGTGGGAAATCACCATTCAGTGGAGGACAGCCATGCCATAATCCCTCTCTATCCTCCTCTCTGGGGATGCTGGGCCCACACACACTGCGTGTTTTTTGTTTTTTGAAAGAGAGATTTTTGCTATAGGGCACAATCATTCGCTGAAGAGACAGAAAGACAGAAAGCAAGAAATCAGCCCCCTCCAGGAGGATGGCCACACCACAACCAAGACAGACACGTTATTACAGGCATGAGTCTTAACATTTTCAAAATAAATAGAAAGTCATAGTATTCTGAAACCGATTTCTTTTCATGATTTATCAAAGATGAATATAATCTCAAAATCATTTTCACAGGAGCAGAAACTAGCTGGATGGCCATAATGATGCTGTCACCCACTAGTGGCTCTCAGCTTTTTAACTTTATGATCCAACCTCATCTCACCTGAGCAATTAAGGAAAGAAAAAAAAAAGGACAAGCAAAAACATGGCTGTGACCACACCACTAACTGGCATCTATTAAGTTTTTCTCTTGGTATCAAAATATCCATTTGAGGCCAACCCTATAACTTAGTGGTTAAAAGAGCCATATCCCACATGACTGACTGCAGTTTAAATCTTAGCCCTGGCGACTTGAAAAACATGAAAGGCATGGACAAATTAAGGAAGAAGCATTGTGACATGACCTTGCTCTGGTGAGAGATGCTTTCTCCCTGTCTCTCTCTCTCTGTCTTGTTATCTCTTTCTGGTGAGCATATATGTCTTCTGGCTATTAAAAAAATCCATTTTTATTTATTTATTTTTAAATTATTTAACTTTATTTATTCATTCATTTACTTATTTCAATTTGACCAGAGATGGATAGAGAGAGAGAGAGAGAGAAAGCTGCCAGGTCCGGGACTGGAGCCACAATCGGCCATGTGGGAGTCCAGCACCCTTAACCACCAAGCCACATGCCAGTCCCAAAAATATCCATTTTTAGAAATGGTACATGTTTGGGGACCAACAGTTGGCATAATACCTACATCACTGGACTCCCATGTAGTCAACTGTGGTTCGAATCCCGGATCTGGTGGCTTAAATTCACACCAGGCATGTATGCATGCATGCCCAAGATCCCAAGAGGAGAATGGAGAACAAGGGATTGCGGTGTGGCTATCCCCCGTGGGGGGTGATTTCTCGCTTTCTGTCTCTCTGTTTCTCTCTGTCTTTCTGGCGAGTGCACACGCCCTATAGCAAAAACCTCTCAAAAAAAAAAGAAAAGAAAGAAATGGTACAAGTTTCAGCTGGCAGGTGGCATAGTGGTTAAAGGCGCTGGACTCCTACATGGCTGACCATGGTTCGAGTTCCAGACCTGGCGGCTTGCTCTTTCTTTCTCTCTCTCCCTGTCTGATTAAAATTGAAAAAAATGGTAATAAATAAATCTTTTCTAAAAATTAATTACCTAATTAATTCTATTTGTTATTATTATTTTTTAATATGACCAGAGAGAGAGAGAGAGAAAGGAAAAGTGAGAAAGCAAGCTGCCAGGTCCAGGACTCGAATCATGGTTGGTCATGTGGGAATCCAGTGCCCTTATCCACCACACTACCTGCCACTGCCTAAATAAATAAGTCTTCAAAAAAAAAAAAAAAAAAGAAATGGTACACGTTTAAGAGAGACAGAACCTAGCTTATAATAGTCTTTTTTTTTGAGAGGTTTTTGCTATAGGGCGCGTGTGCTCGCCAGACAGACAGAGAGAGACATAGAGACAGAAAGCGAGAAATCACCCCCCGGGGGGATGGCCACGCCGCAATCCCTTCTCCTCCATTCTACTCTCGGGATCTTGGGCACGCACGCACACACACCCGGCGTGAGTTTTAAGCCACTGGGTCCAGGACGCGAACCGTGGTCGACTACGTGGGAATCCAGCGACATAGCCATTACACTAACTGCTGGTCCCTAGCTTATAATAGTCTTAACCCGGACCAGCAGGTGGTATGGTGGTTAAGGGGCTGGGCAGTCCTATACGGCCAATTATGGTTCGAGTCCCAGAACTGGTAGCTTGCTTTCTCACTTTCCTTCTCTGTGTGTGTGAGTGTGAGTGTGAGTGTGTGTGTGTGTGTGTGTGTGTGTGTTTGTGTCCTGGACCCAGCGGCTCAAACTCATGCCAGGCGCATGTGCATACGTACCTAAAATACTGAGAGGAGCACTAAGGAGAAGGGATTGTGGTATGGCTATCTGCCCTGTAGGATGATCTCTCACTCCCCTCCCCCAGCTGTCTCTCTCTGGTGAGCACACATGCCCTAATAGCAAAACTAAAAAAAAAATTAAGAACAACTTTTAAAAAATAAATAAAATAATACCACCCAGGCTCAGGTATTTTAGTAGGGTGCTTTCTCTCCCTCTCTGTGTGTCTCTCTGGTGAGTATACATGCCCTCTGGCATATTTTTTTTTAAAGAATGTCCAAAAAAGTTTTTGCCATGAGGCCAGCAGTGTAGTGGTTACTTCACTGGACTCCCATATTACTTTATCATAATTCTATACATGTAAACACCAATAAAAACAAAATTATTATATTTGGGTACATTTATACTTATGTATTTAAAAGCATAGAAAAAGACTGAGGTGCCTTCAAGTCCCTGACCTGGAGGCTTGCTTTCCCACTTTCCCTCTCTCTCCCTCTCTGTCTCTCTCTGGAGAGTACACATGCCTTAGGGCAAAGTTTTAAAAAATAATAATAATAAATAAATTAAACAAATAATTATTTTTAAAAGAAAACACAAAAGAAAAAGACTGAAAGCAAACAGAGTCATTAATAGTGAATCTTCTAGTGGAGTGGCAACCAAGTCTGAGAAGAATGAAAGATTTATATACGTAAAGGGGACATTTGCCTTTACTCTTTTTCTTTTGTGTTTTCTTTTAAAATTTAACTTTATTTATTTTAAATTTTACCAGAGAGGGACAGAGTGAGAGTGAAAGAGAAAGATAGAGAAAGTGAGAAAGCAAGCCACCAGGTCCAGGACTCAAACCGCAGTCAGCTATGTGGGAGTCCAGTGCCCTTAACCACCATGCCACCTGCTGGCCCCTGCCTTTATTATTTTTTAAATTTATATTCTAGTTATCATTATTAATTTTTTTTGAAGTTTGCTATCAGGCATGTGTATTCACCAGAGAGATACAGAAAAAAAGGGAAAGTGAAAAAGCAAGATAGCAGGTCCAGGATTTGAACCGTCAGTTATATGGGAGTCCAGTGCCTTAACCACTATGCCACCTGTTGTTCCCTCACCTTTACACTTAAAACTTATACATATATATATTTTTTTTTTTGGGGGGGGAGAGGTTTTTGCTATAGGGAGCGTGCGCTCGCCAGACAGGTAGAGAGAGAGATAGAAAGCGAGAAATCACCCCCCAGGGGGGATGGCCACACCGCAATCCTTCTCTTCCATTCTCCTCTCAGGATCTTGGGCATGCACACACACGCGCCCGGCGTGAGTTTAAGCCGCCGGGTCCAGGACTCAAACTGTGGTCGACTACATGGGAGTCCAGCGACATAGCCATCACACCAACTGCTGGTCCCAAAACTTACACATATTTTTTAAATTTCATATTTATTAGACTAAACTAATGTTTACTTGACTTGAGTCATTTAATACAGAAATAAATGGACAGCTGGTGGCCAGTTAAGGTGGCTGGATCCCATATGGCCAGTTTGACAGCTAAAGTTGCAGACGCAGTAGGGTTTGAAAAACCCAGTAGGCCCACAAGCATGCCTGCCCAAAAACACACGGGAAGAATGGAGGAGAAGTGATTGCGGTGTGGCCATACCCTCTAGGGGGTGATTTTTCTCTTTCTCCCTTCCTTCCCCCACCCGCAGGAAGCACACCCACCCTATAGTAAGTTAATAAATAAGTAAATACATAAATAAGATATAGCATTCAGTAACTAATATAAAATCAAAAGCTTTCTCATCTCTTTGATTTCATTCTTCCTGTGCTTCATCTCCATCATCCATTGGCCCCAGCCTCATAACCCCTTCTCCCCTGCATTAGGCTCTACTGTTATATTTGGATCTTGGCTGGGTACTAAGTTATTTTGTCCTCTCACCGTATCCCAGATTTGCAGCTTGATTTGTTTTCCATCAATGTTGACCATACGGGCTCCAAATTCCACACCTGTTAGGGAAGACCAAGCGAAAAATGTGACTCTCATGGACAACAGCCATTTTGAGAGGTTCATGCTTTTCCTCAATGTGTCACAACCCATTTTCTGTCCACCAAGCCCCCTACTGTTGCCTATTTTCTCCAATTAATTTTGTGTTCCTTTAAGCTTTCTTTCCTTCCTAGAATTAATAATGAAAAAATATATGTAAAAAGAAAAAAATATCTTCCAGTTAATAACCTCAGGAATGTAACCGAAAAGTATATATGGGGGGCTGGCAGGTGGCACGGTGGTTAAGGGCACTGGACTCCCACATAGCCAACCCCAGTTTGAGTCGCGGACCTCGTGCTTACTTTCTCACTTTCCTTCTCTCTTGCTTTCTCACTCTGTCCCTCTCTGGTCAAATTTAAAAAGAAAGAAAGAAAGAAGAAAGGAAGCGAATGGGGGAGGGAGGGGGAGAAGGAGAGAAGAAAGAAAAAAAATAATTCTTATTAAAAAAAAAAAAAAACCACATGGAAATAAAACCAATTAAGAAGTCAAACAGGGTGACAAGCAGATGGCGTTACGGTTATATCACCGGACTCCCATGTAGTTGCTGTTCAAGCCCCAGACCTGGCAGCTTAAAACTCACGCTGCGTGCATGTGCATGTGTGCCCAAGATCCTGAGAGGAGAATGGAGGGGAAGAGATTGTGCCGTGGCCATCTTGCCTCGGGGGTGATTTCTCACTTTCTGTCTGTCTCTCTGGTGAGTGCACACACTCTATAGCAAAAATCTCTCTTAAGAAATAAAAAAAGAAGTCAAACAGAGACAGTAGGTGGCATGGTGGTCAAGGCACTGGACTTCCGCATGGCTGACAGCAGTTTGAGTCCCAGACCTTTCTCTCTCTGGTGAGCACATGTGCACTATAGCAAATTAAAAATAAATAAAATTAAAATAAATAATAATTATTATTTTTTTTAAGAAAGATTTTTACTATAGGGTATATGCTCTTGCCAGAAACACAGAGAGACAGAAAGCAAGAAATCACCCCCTAGGCAGGATAGCCATGCTGCAATCCCTTCTCCATTCTCCTCTTTGGATTTTGGGCGTACATGCACATGTACCCAGTGTGAGTTTTTTTATTTATTTTATTTTATTTTTTGCTATAGGGCGCGTGTGCTCGCCAGACAGACAGAGACAGACAGAGAGACAGAAAGCGAAAAATCATCCCCCCGGGGGGTGGTGGCCATGCCACAATCCCTTCTCCTCCATTCTCCTCTCGGGATCTTGGGCATGCACGCACACGCGCCCGGTGACCTGGTGTGAGTTTTAAGCTGCTGGGTCTGGGACTCCAACTGGAGTCAGCTACATGGGAGTCCAGCAACGTAACCATTATACTATCTGCTGGTCCCAAAACAATTTTTTTTCCCAAAATAAATAATTCTTAAAAAAAAAAAAAAGAAATCAAATGTAAGGACAATATAACAAATGTAACACAATATATTGTGTTTGTTTATATTTTTTGTTGTTGTTTTTTAATTAATTTATTTATTTTAATTTGACCAGAGAAGAACAGAGAAAGAAAGTGAGAGAGCAAGCTGCCAGGTCCGGGACTTGAACTGTAGTTATTCACGTGGGAGTCCAGCACCCTTAACCACGATCACCATATCTAACCTGCCGGGCACAATGTAAGGACAAGTTTGAACACACCAACTCATTCCCAATAGCAACAGTGGCAATTAGGTCATCTTGTGCATAGAGAACCAACACACAACTCCCTGGAGTCAATGTGAACAAAGGTGAGATTAACCATGTAGAACACTTTACGTACCATAAGGAAGCTCTCAATCAAGTAAATAAAGTATGTGTAAGTTGTAGTCCTCTTTTCACACTTATGTGAAAACCTGACAATTCATTCTGGCCTGGTATCTCCTGGCAGTATGACATTCTTCTGTGCTATCTATGGTAGAATCGGCATACTTAAAATAAGACAGAATTCATTGGCAGTATGATTTATGATTGCAAAACCTAGTGTTTAATGAATGTACTTGAAAGAGGAGTTTCCTTTGTAATAAAAAAATGAACTGAGGGGCCAGGAGGTGGTGTGGTGACTAAGGTGCTAGACTCCCACATGGCCCACCATGATTCAAGACCTGGACCTGGTGGCTTGCTTTCTCACTTTCCCTTTCTCTGTCTGTCTCACTCTGGTCAAACTAAGAAAGAATAACAACTGAAATTAAATAAATAAATAATTCTCTAAAGAAAATAATAATGATGAACTGAAATGGAAAATAAAATGAAACTTTAAAAAGTATTTTTTCTGCAGTGTTAGTTAAAGCTTAAATGTGATTACATAACATTTTGTAACTTTTTCAAAAAAAAAATTTTTTTTTTGAGAGGTTTTCGATATAGGGTGTGTGCGCTCGCCAGAGAGAGAGAGAGAGAAAGAGAGACAGAAAGTGAGAAATCACCCCCCAGGGAGGACGGTCATGCCGCAGTCGCTTCTCCTCCATTCTCCTCTTGGGATCTTGGGCACGCATGCACACGTGCCCGGCGTGAGTTCTAAGCCACCGGGTTTGGGACGTGAACTGCGGTTGACTATGTGGGAATCCAGCGACATAGCCATTACGCTAACTGCTGGTTCCCTCAAAAAATTTTTTTGGGAAAATATTTCCTAACAGTTTCTCAAAGTCACTCTAATGTCTATATGAGGCAATATTTATTTTTGGAATTCTATCTCCTTTCTTTGTTTAAAAAAGAAAGCCTAAAAATTATGAGAAGACTTCAAAAAGTTCATGGAAAAAATAGAATTCAAGTATGAGTTTTACTTTGGTGCAATTTTTTAAAATCCATGCATAGTTTTTTTGTAATACCCAGTGGGTTTTTTCCCCTCTCTTTATTACTTCTGCTATATGGCACATGTGCTTGTCAGAGAGAGAGAGAGAGAGCAGGGGGGAAAGCACTCCAGGGAGGATGGTCATACCACAACAGCTTTTCCTTTTGGATTTTGCCATGCATGCAAAATGTGCCCAGTGTGTTTTTCAAGCTACTGAGTCTGGGACTTGAACCATTCAGTTGGCCATGTAGGATCCAGCCACCTTCACCACCACACCACCAGCTGGTCCCTTGATTTTTCTTTTTAAAGTTTATTTTTTCCATGACTGAGAAAGAGAGAAAAACAGCATCCCCAATAGGGCCTTAAAACCATGATCCAACCCCAGCCTCTACGAGTCTGGACCATGGGTACACTTGTGCCCAGCATACTCAGGGAGGATGCTGGACAGCAATCAGGAACCTTTTCGTGATGGTCTGCCTGTCAGAGTGTCTCATTTCACCACTGTACCACACTCCCATGGCACAATGTGCATTTTCCACAAATTTCTTGAAGACTCCTGGTGGGTTCTCAAGGGTGATACGCTTGGGGCCAGAAGGTGGTATGGTGGTTAAGGTACTAGACTCCCAAAGAATCAACCACAGTTCAAGTCCCAGTCCGGGAGCTTAAAAATCATGCCCAGTGTGTGTGCATGCACACTCAAATCCCTGGAGGAGAATGAAAGAGAAGGGATTGAAGAGTGGCCATCCCCTCTAGGAAATAATTTCTCACTTTCCACCTCACTGTCTCTCTCCAGCGAACACATGTGCCTTAGAGCAAAATCATTAAAAAATGTGATACATTTCAGATCTCCAATAATTCTCTATTTTCTACTTTTTACAGTACTTTGTACATAGCATGAGGAATTCAAATTTCTAGGAGCACTAATGTACCTTACACCAAGAGCTGAAATGTACCTATTCAGTGATCTTATGACAATGTGCATAATATAGCAGGATTATCCTAACTGTAAGATGCTGTAGTCAAAAAGAAATAAAAGAACTGTTTCTTACCTAACTCCCACTGCTTCATCAAGAACCAAGTGATAGCTATCAAAAAGTCACTAATTTTTTAATTCCCTTTTCAGGACAATAGAAATGGAATTTTTGAGATTAAGATTTGAAAAACAGACGGGACCAGCAATGGATGTAATGGCTATGTCGCTGGACTCCCATGTAGTCGACCACGGTTTGAGTCCCGGACCCGGTGGCTTAAATTCACACTGGGCGCATGTGCGTGCATGCTCAAGATCCCAAGAGGAGAATGGAGGAGAAGGGATTGTGGCGTAGCCATCCCACCTGGGGAGTGATTTCTCGCTTTCTGTCTCTCTGTCTCTCTCTTTCTGGTGAGCGCACGTACCCTATAGCAAAAAAAAAAATTTTTCCTTATTGATACTTTTCTCTGAATCCTTTTTTTTTTTGAGAGGTTTTTGCTTTCTGGCGTGTGTCCTCGCCAGAAAGACAGAGAGAGACAGAGAGACAGAAAGCGAGAAATCACTCCCCAGGTGGGATGGCTACGCCACAATCCCTTCTCCTCCATTCTCCTCTCAGGATCTTGGGCACACATGCACACGTGCCCAGCGTGAGTTTAAGCCCCCAGGTCTGGGACTTGAACCGTGGTCAGCTACATGGGAGTTCAGTGACATAGCCATAGCGTTATACTAACTGCTGGTCCCTTTTTTTAGTTTTGACTAAAGGGCATGTGTGTTCTCCAGAGAGAAAGAGAAGGGAAATGAGAAATTACCTCCACAAGGAGGATAGTTATGCCACAATCCCTTCTCACCCAGTATCCTCTTGGGATCCCAGGCAGGGATACACGCCATCACACCCTGGCCTGATATTCAAGGCTCCAGGCCCAGGATTTTAACCGCACAGTCAGCTTTGTGAGATCTAGCACCTTACCCTCCACGCCATCCATTAGCCCCTCTCCAAATCCTTTTTTTTTTTTTTTTGGGGGTTTTTTGCAATAGGCGCGTGCGCTCACCAGAAAGAGAAGAGTCAGAAAGCAAGAAATCACCCCCCAGGGGGGATGGCCACACCACAATCCCTTCTCCTCCATTCTCCTCTCGGGATCTTGGGCACGCACACACATGCGCCTGGTGTGAGTTTAAACCACCAGGTCCAAGACTCAACCGCGATCGACTACATGGGAATCCAGCGACATAGCCATTACGCCATCTGCTGGTCCCATATCAATTTTTCAATAAGCACTTGTTCTTTGGCGGGATTTTCCATAAAAATACTAATTAAATTTGAAAAAAGAAAATCCTACGGCAAATAGTCTGTGCTTCACACTAATCTCTGAAGTTATTTTTCAATTATTTAATCCCAACACACTACTCCCCATTTATCAGCGTTTGATTAGTCCCTCTCACTTAACATAACGTTGGATTCGTTTAACTATGTATAGTAAGAGGTAACTTTTTACTTGGAACACTGAAGGCTGCTAACTTTTCGCTTTAGCAGTGTAGCTAGTGAGGTTTCATGACCTGTTCTGGAACAAGTAGATGCAGTTACCTATTGTGAGGTCGTGGACAGGCTGGAACCGCTTGTCTGTAAACTGCAGGAGGAGACACGACTTCCCCACACCTGAAAGATGACGACGCCCGTTCTAGGAGTCACGCAGTACACCTGCCAAGTCGGGGCGTCTGGGACAGAGACTGTGGCGCGCCGAGCCCCGCCCCCGGCCGCCCCGCCCCGGCCAGCTGGTCGCGAATCGCCCAGCCCACTAGGTGAGCCCCGCCCCCGCGGCCCGATTTGGGAGCTTTAGATCCCCGCCCCACCTTTGAGGGCGGTCCACCCGCGGATTACCTGTGTCCCCGATGATGATGTACTTGAAGAGATAAGCATAAGTCATGGTCCCGATTCTTCTGGATTCCGAGTCCGCCTGACTTCTACAGCCACTTACCTTCGACCTCTCTAGCCACTCAATATACCGATCTCCTTAGTTTTCCTCTCCGGCCCCTCTAGCCCAGATTACGTCTCTACTGCTCTCCCCAGAAATCACTCGGTCCGGATTCCCCGACACCACCCCGGAGACGCCTCTAGCACTTTTACGTGCCATTATTCCGCCAAGCGTCAGGGGGCGATAACTAGTTTCTCCATTCGCTCGGCGCCTGACTGGGCGGCCGACCGCGGCGCTCCTTCCAATCAGCGGAGAGTGACGTGCATCCTTGCGGAAGTGACGGCAGTTCCTAGTCCAGTGGGGCGGTGGGAGCGGTTTAATGAGGGGTCGGTCTGAGACGGTGGGAGCGGTTGTGTGAAGATGGAGGTAGGAATCTGGTGCCGAGAAGGCGGATGAGAGAGTACGGCCAACCGGGTGGAAGCAGTGGCGGGAAGCCGGGCGGAGAGGCGGCTCACGGAAGAGGAAAGAGCAGGGTTTGGGGAGTGTTGTCAGAATGTCGGGGTCAGAATCCAGCGCTCGGAGTTAACTCCCTCCTCCCCCTAACTTATCTCCGCGGCTTTCTTTTGGTTTCCAGTTTCCCGGAGGAAATGACAATTACCTGACGATCACAGGGCCCTCGCACCCCTTCCTGTCAGGGGCCGAGGTGAGCAAGAGCTGCCGACGCTGCGGGGGGAGGGCCTAGGCAGGGTAGGGTAGGGAGGTGGGGAGGAGAGCGCGGACTCGGGCACGCGGGCTGGGAACCAGGGGCCGGGTTGGTGTTTATAGAAAAAAGTGGCAGCCCCTTATAGAGCCTGTGAGGACTTTCTGAGGACGGCCTGGGAAGCTGCTGTCATCAGAAAGCCAGAATGTTGGAAAGAGATGACCTCTTAAGGAAGAGAGTGATTCTGAATTAAAAGACAGATGAATTGTTTATATTCGTGGGAGAGGAAATAGATACCATCTCCAGAGAGCGCTGCAGAAAGAACGTGGTTTTTTTCAGCAGCTAGAGAAATTGGTTTGGATGTGGTCCAGCTGGTGGCAGTTGTTAGGGCAGTTGGATCCCACGTGGCCTATGTGCGGTTCGAGTCCCGGACCTTTCGGCTTGAAAAACACGTGTGTGCGTGCCTGCCCCAAATCTCGGAGAATGGAAGGCGAAGGGACTGTGATGTAGCCATCCCGCCTGGGGTGTGTTTTCTCACTTCCTTTCCTTCTATCTTTCTGTTTCTGGCCACATAGCGCCCTAAAGCAAAATTTTTTTTTTTAAAAAAGGTAGAAACCTTTAAAAAATTAATAAAATAAAATAATAAATTGTGATTAAGGGAGAAGTTTACCAAGCAGGGGTTAACTGTGGACACGTGTTCTTTCTTGAAACAAAAATTTTTTTAAGAAGGATTTTTTTTTTCAGAATTATTTTATCTACTTTGTTTGTTTATTTTGATTTGACCAGAGGGATAGAGTAAGAGAAAGAGGGAGAGAAAGAGGGGAAGTGAGAAAACAAGCTGTCAGGTCCAGGACTCAAACCAGTCGGCCTTGTGGGAGTCCAGCACCCTTAACCAACATGCCACCTGCTGGCCCCAAAACAAATTGTCGAACTGGTCATTTCTCCATTTAAATTTCTTACTTTAATAAAAGGAAAATTAGTAGTTGGGTTTAGATGCATGGTGCCAGTTTTTGTTTTGTTTTTTTTTTTGACAGGGCCAAGGGAAATAACTTCTCTGAGAACTTTAAAGGAGTTGAGTAGGACATGTGCTTTTGTTTGCCAACAACTCAGACTTTGGGCAGATTACTTCACCCTTAGGTGTCACAGTTTCCCTAGCTGTCAAGTGGCTGTAATAATAGTTTGTTATGATGTTGTGAAGTAGTAATGAGTAGGGCAAGGTCTTAAATTACTGGTGAAAAAGTTCTGGTCGAAATGTTGTCAAAATACAAATATGTTTCATTTCTTTTTTAAAAAAATCTTTTAACTATTTATTTATTTATTTAAATTAGACGAGAGGGACAGTATGAGAGACACAGAGAGGGGGGGGGGGGAGTGAGAAAGCAAGCCACCAGGTCCAGGATTCAAACCATGGATGGACATAGTGGGAGTCCAGCACCCTTAACCACCACACCACCTGCCAGCCCTATATGTGTTGTTTCTTTAGGCAAGGCAAAAGAAAAGTGGAACACAGGAATTACCTAGTCTTTGGGAAACTTTGAAGTCTTTTTTTTTTTGGAGAGATTTTCACTGTAGGGCGCGTGCGCTCGCCAGACAGACAGAGAGAGACATAGAGACAGAAAGCGAGAAATCACCCCCCAGGGGGGATGGTCACGCCGCAATCCCTTCTCCTCCATTCTCCTCTCCGGATCTTGGGCACGCATGCACACGCGCCCGGCGTGAGTTTTAAGCCACCGGGTCCGGGACACGAACCGCGGTTGACTACGTGGGAGTCCAGCGACATAGCCATTACGCTAACTACTAGTTCCCAAACTTTGAAGTCTTGAACCTTCTCTCTCTCTCTCTTTTTTTTTTAATTTTATTATTTTTTAATCTGACCAGAGAGAAACAAGGAAGGGGGTGATGAGAAAGCAAGCCACCAGCTCAGGACTTAAACCGTGGTCGGCCATGTGGGAGTCCAGCACCTCAACCACCACACCACCAGCTGGCCCCAAACAAATTTTTTAAACCTTTTTCTTTTCTTTTTTTTTTTTTTTTGAGAGGTTTTTGCTATACGGTGCGTGCGCTCGCCAGACAGAGACAGACAGAGAGACAGAAAGCAAGAAATCACCCCCAGGGGGGATGGCCATGCCGCAATCCCTTCTCCATTCTCCTCTCGGGATCTTGGGCACGCACGTACACGGGCCTGGCGTGAGTTTAAGCCACCAGGTCCAGGACGCAACTCGCGGTCGACTACATGGGAGTCCAGCAACATAGCCATTATGCTAACTGCTGGTCCCCAAAACTATCTTTCTAGCATATTAATATATGTTTTCTTTTTTGAAAAGTAATTATTTATTGGAACCAGTAGATTGTTTAATGGTTACATTGCTGGACTCCCATATAGTCAACTGCAGTTTGAATCCTGGCAGCTTAAAACTCAGGTTAGGCATGTTTATGTGCATGCCCAAAATCCAGAGAGGAGAATGGAGAAGGGATTGCCACGTGGCCATACCCCCAGGGAGGTGATTTCTCACTTTCTGTCTGTCTCTCCAGTGAATGCATTCTCCCCATAGCAAAAGTCTCTCACTAAAAAAAAAATAAATAAATACATGTGTGTGTATATTAAATGGTACCAGCAGATGGCAAAATGATCAAGTCACTGGACTCTTACGTAGTTCAAGTTCCAGGCCTGGTGGCTTAAACTCACGTTGGACACGTGTGCATGCGTGCCCAAAATCCAAGAGGAGAATGGAAGAGAAGGGATTGTAGTGTGTCTGTCCCCTCCTTGGGGGATGGTTTATCATTTTCTCTCTCTCTCTTTCTCTCTGGTGAGCACACACGTCCTATAGCAAAAATCTCTCAAAGAAAGATTTTTTAATTACGTGTTTATTTAAATTTTTTTGTTATTTTTTAATTTGACCAGCAAGAGACACAGAGAGGAAAGGGAGAAAGCAAGTTGCCAAGTCATAGACTCAAACCATAGTCGGTGATGCTTTAGCCAACATGCTACCTGCCAGCTCCTATATATCTGTTTTTAAGGTTTTTGCCATTGGGCACATGTACACTTCAGAAAAACAGAGACAGTGAAAGGGAAAGTGAGAAACGACCCCCTGGGGAATGTGTGACAGTCCCTTCTCCATTCTCCTCCTGGGATTTTGGGCACAAATGTATACACACTGGTGTATCAGGCCTCCAGATCTGGAACTTGAACCGTAGTCAACCAAGTGAGAGTCTAGCACCTTAACTACTATGCTGTCTGCTGGCCCTGATTTTAATACATTTTTTTAAAATAGTGTAACCATTTGCATCAGCTTTTTTTTTTTTTAAAAGAGGTTTTTGCCTTAGTAAAATAAAATTTAAAAAAACCTGTTCAAGGTCATACAATAAAGGGCATAGCTGGGACTCAAACCTAGGTGTCTGACACCAGAGTTTTTTCTGTTGTTGGGTTGTCAGGAAAGTTGTGATGCATTTTCGCATAGAAAAATACATCATGATTTTTCCGATGACCTAATATTTATAATGCCCTGTTGCTACAGATACCTCCAATTGAGGTTTTAAGAGTAAAAAAGGAACCATAGCATAACTTCAAGACCACTTCAAAAAGTTGATGGAAAAATGGATTGATGTATAAGTTTAATTTGATGAAAAAAAAAAATTGAAACTCTGGTAAAATTTTCTCATCATTGATATATTCCATGAAATTTAAGACTCCTTGCAAGGGCCAACAGGGCATGGAGGTAGGGCTGCTAGACCTTTCATGGCCAACCATGTGGTTTGAGTTCCAGACCTGGTTGGTGGCTTGAAAAACATGCCAGGGTTGGGGACCAGCATGTGGTATGGTGGTTAGGGTACTGGATACTCCCACATGACTGACCATGGTTCAAGTCCCGGACCTGGTGGCTTACTTTCTCACTCCCCCCAACCTCCGTCTCCCTCTTGTCAAATATATATATATATATAAAAAAAAAAGAATAAATAAACTAAATTAAATAATTCTTTATTTTTTTTTTATTTAAAAATATTTTTGAGAGTTTTTGTTTGTTTGTTTTTCACTATAGGGTGCGTGCGCTCACCAGAAAGACAGAGACAAAGAGACAGAAAGTGAGAAATCATCCCCTGGGGGGATGGCCATGCCGCAATCCCTGCTCCTCCATTCTCCTCTCAGAATCTTGGGCAGGCACGCATGCACACGCGCCAGGCATGAGTTTAAGCCACCGGGTCCAGGACTCAAACTGCGGTCGACTATATGGGAGTCCAGCGACATAGCCATTACACTAACTGCTGGTTCCTTAATTTTTTAATTTTAATTTCTTCCTCTCTCGTAGAAAGGCTTTGTCAGAATATGTTCTGGAACTGTTAGAGAACTAGTTTTGCTGTAACAAGATTTTTCTCCTTACTATCCTACTTATCTTTTTCATTGTAGGCATTTTCCAAAAATTCTATATAAAATAGGAATCTTATTTGTTGTTAACAGTATAGTTTCTAAAGTGGAGAATCAAAAAACTAAGTGTAAGTATTTTAGAGGGCAGTAAGGTTCCCATGATAGTACCTTTTAGGACCTGTCTCAAAGGGACTAAAACAAAGTATAATTGGCTGATTGACAAAGAATTTCTGTGGTTTAACAGGTCAGGTGTTATTACGAAATAACTGCTAACAGAAATGGTATAGATTTCAAGACTGGCAGATGGCGTTACGTCGCTGGACTCCCACATAGTTAACTGCAGTTTGAGTCCCAGACTCAGCAGCTTAACATTCAAACCATGTGCGTGTACGTGTGTGCCCAAAATCCCAAGAGGAGGAGGGAGAAGGGATTGTGGTGTGGACATCCCCCCTGGGCGGGGTGATTTCTCTTTTCTATCTCTCTGTCTCTTCAGCGATTACATGCACCCTATAGCAAAAACCTCTCTCTTAAAAAAAAAAAAGAAGATGGGGCTGGAAAGTGGCATGGTGGTTAAGGGCGCTGGACACCCACATGGCAAATTGCAGTTACAGTCTCGGACCTGGTGGCTTGCTTTCTCACTTTCTCTCTCTCTCTCTCTGTACCTCTCTGGTCAGAATTAAAATAAAATTAAATAAAATAATTATTTTTTTTTTTTTTTTTGGAGAGATTTTCACTGTAGGGCGCATGCGCTCGCCAGACAGACAGAGAGAGACATAGAGACAGAAAGCAAGAAATCACCCCCCAGGGGGGATGGTCACGCCGCAATCCCTTCTCCTCCATTCTCCTCTCGGGATCTTGGGCA